TTCTCTTCCCACGTCCTCACTGTGGTTACCTCTTCGCTGTATCCTTCTTTCCTATGTATTCCTGCCCCCTGAGCTATCTCCCTGTGCAAATACTGCCCTCCTGGTCTCCCATGATTGATTGCTCTAAGGAGTGGACCTACCTGTGTAAATGTTCACTTTATATGCCTATTATTTGGCTGTACGTTCAATTCTAGGACTGCAAGGGTAACTAGAGGCCATAGTCTCAGGGGTTTTACCAGCCTCTACCAGACCAGTGAATCTGGTCTTTTTTTTTTTATGATTTTGAGTTTTGTTCCACATTTTTCTCGCACTCTATCCAATACCTCCTGCACTGATCCCTTTCCAAGTGGTCAACAGTGGTAGTCAGGCACTCTCTAGTTCTTCTGGTCTCATGACTGAGGTTCCCATGGTCCACTAATCCCTTGGACTAATTGTTTCCATGCATCTTTGGTTTTCTTCACTCTTCTTTGTTCCAGATGAGGAGAGACCAATTGTTGCACCTAGCTGGCTGTGTGCAAGCTTTTGAGACCCCAGTCACTACTCACCAAAGAAGGATGTAGAACAATGTTTTTGTGTAGCGTGTTATGTCAACTGCTCTTGATGTCACAATGGGTCTCTTTTAAGAGCACATAAGAGGGGCAATTCATTTTCCTTTCCCTGGTCTGCCTATGCCCACTGTGGTTAGCTCTGTCATACTGGTCACATCACAAACATCAACACTTCTTTTTGATCCAGAACACAACAGTGCCATTTTTACTCTCCAGTTTATTCTGTGAGTAAAATAGGCCTTTTGGGGCTGGTACTTGAGCCTATTTAACAATAACCTTTATCAAAGGGCTAAATATGGCATGTATTAAGCCAAGTCCTTCATATGTGTTATCTTAATATTCACAACAATCCTATTAAATAGGCATTCATATTAGTCTCTGTTATACAAATGAAGACACTGAAGCACTGAGAGACTAAAGAATTTGCTCAAGGTCACACAGCTGTCATGTGGCAGAGCCAGGATTCAGACCTAGCCCTGTCCTCCCCAAATCCCATGCATGCCTATAACTATTGCACACTAGCTGTTACTAACATGTGAATTATCTCAACAAAAATATACCCATATTTTGTTAATTTGACTGCTAACCAGAAGGCTGACAGTTCAAACCCACCAACCACTCCTCGGAAGGAAGGTTGGGCAATCTACTTCTGTAGTGATACCACCTCGGAAACCCAAAGAGGGGTCGCTATGAGTTGGATCCAACTCCACAGAAGTGAGTCTGTTTCTTTTTAATACTATCATACATTTGACAAATAAAATAGATAACTATTCTGGTTTCCTTAAAAATCAAACATTCAGAATGTCTTTTACTGGGAGACTGTGTGGTGCCATTTTTATGGGAAATGAGGTGGGACTGGAGGAGGCCATCAAGGAAAACTCAGATATGAAGAAATGGGAGTTTTCTAGATTCAGACACTGGAACAAGTGCGTTTTCCTTAATCATTTTTGCCACAAGGGTTTTACAGCTTGACAATGGAATGAATGTCACTTAGAATCAGATGATTGGAAGTTGGCAGAAGGCAGAGCCTATGAAATGGAGCCAATAAAAGCAGAGGCGCAACGGACCCTACACGACTTGCATGCTTTTGGGCCTTCGTCTACAGTCAAAACCAGGGACAGAACCAACACAGAGAAGCGCTAAATTCCCTATGCAGAAATTATTGGGGGATATATATATAATAATACTTATTTTAATAAAAGATAGAAAAAAGGTCTTGCATCAAGAATGATCTACATTACCATCTCATTTTCAAATGATGAGATGAGCACCCTTGGGCTTTGTGATGCTGGAGGTAATACTCTATAAACCACGCTTCTGCTTGCCAGCTGCTCGCGTTAAGGCTGACAATAGGGGGCGATAGGAGATGGCAAAGCTGGAGGCGGGACTTCCTGTTTACTTCCTCTTTGCTCTGTACCTACTTCCTGCTTCTCAGCATCACCGTGTCAACGATTGTTTACCTCGCAGTGGCTGTTTCATTATGTAGCAGTATTGAATACAGTTTACAGTGACAGTTTTGGGTAACACGTGAACTAACAGCCTCATCTCCGTGGCAGAAACTCCAGCACCAGCCACCCTCTTGAAAGGGCTGGATTTCAGCCCAGGGGTTACTTTCTGAGCTTAGCAACCCCAGCACCAGCTGAGCAATGCCCCCTCTTCAGAGGTCTGAGTTTTGGTTTTGGGGATCCCTCTACCCAAATTCTATATTTATTAATTCCCAAGTCCTCCAGTCCTTGGTGG